TGGCCCACGTGGCTCTGGAGGCTCAGACCTTTTCATACGTAGTCCCATGTGCCTCAACTCTGATCACCTGTATTTGAATGCTTCTCTTCCTCCTTTTCATCCTATAGTTATGGGTGCTGGAAACTATTGTTATAAAGACAAAAGAGCACACAGCCTAGCTAAGAGTTGTTTCTGGAGGTCCCCTAATGCCTAGCTTTTTCTCATCTTTTAATTAACTATGCCTTTATTTTTGAATGAAAATGTAAGAAAAATGTTTAGTAGGGAAAAACCCCAATTCAACAGAAATTATTCCTTCCCATTGAAGTGCTAGCAATTAATACTGCGGCTGTTGCTCTAAAGAAGGGCCATGTGAACCCTGTAAAATTATAAGCTAAACAGAGCTTAGCCATCCCCAGCTGCAGGAGAACTGTGGGCTCCAGTCTGCTCCTGCAGCAGATGGGGTACCAGTACCAGATCAACACTATGAAGGGCTCTTTTCTGCACCCATCCTCCCTTCAAACAGCTATGGTATACAAAGATGCAGCTGTCTGGTGTGATAAGCCTGAACTCTCAACAGGGCCAAAGATCAACTTTTTCCTATAACATGGGCTGTTTCACAGTTTGTAAAAGCCTTTTAAAATTTTAACACTGTAGTATTTAATATTTATATAAAGCATGAAAATTAGTTTGGAAAGGATCAAGACTGTTTCAGTACAGCTGTCAGTACCTTCTCTTATTTTACTGCTTATTTTATTGCCATTATTGCAGCAATCTCAAAAATACACTTTGTTCTGACTGAAAAATAAATCTTTGACTGCCTTGCAAAAATTTTGGAGCGGGACATGGGGAGTTTTTTGCCTTCCAAAAATAGCATCTCTGAGACAGACCAAAATAAAAGTTCATTTCCAAGTTGTGATCAAGCTGAACTTTAAGTTTAGACTACGTGAACATAACATGCTAACTTCCTGAGACAGGATGTGTTTGTTATAGGAAGTATCAGGTTCTGTGCCGTGGGGAAATTTTAAATCTCATTTTTTTAACAGCAAAACCTTAGAGCTCTTCTGAAGAATGTACTGTGCTGACACTGCTTCCTTTCAACCCAGAGGGCAGAGTACAGGAGATTAGTAGTTATTTCCACAAGTGACTTGTTAAAACAGTTCTACTGATCATACTTGATTGTGAAAAGCTGTGTATTAACTACAAACACAGATTGTATGAAAAGATTTTACTACGAAATTTAGCTAGTATATCGAGCAGTGGCCTATCATTAGCAACATTATATGGTATTGGTATATAGATACTGCTGTGCTAATTTCTTCAGGCCATTTAAGAGAGATAGTCTTAATGCTTTTACACCAGTGGATACAAACAAGGATGTTTTCAAGTCGCCCTTTAGCTTTAACTTACATCTGCTTATAAGCTATGCATTTCCTTCCCTTCTCTGCACTCAGATGTTTCCTCATGTCTCTGGTTGGCATTGATGGGAAGCTGTTTTTGTCCACAAAAGAAGGTATCAGCACTCCTGAGCACAAGAGCTTGGCTGGGACAATGTGTGTGCATCTGACCCCATCTCAGAAAACACAAGCCAGGTGCTTCTCACTACAGATGTGTGACCTATGAAAATACTTCAGGTGTCTTCAGTGTATCTGACTGGTTACATTAAGACTGTATTAATTGACTAAATCAGTTCTAAAGTAACAGTAACGTTAAATGCAATGTTTCTGTAGGAGGGATAGAAGATTTTGTAACAGCTAGCTGTCTTTGTTCTCTTCCACCCACAGCTTCCCAATCCCTAAATACTGACATAGCCTGCCTATAAGTAAACAGGCTGCTGCACTGCGCAGGAAGGCTGAATGCAGCACTACAGGAATGCACCGACTTCAGCAGTTGTATTCACAAGCTCTTAGGGTGCAAAAGAAGGCGACACTGACTCACCCAAAGCCAAGTCAAGCAGAAGGTGAACCAATATCCAATGCCAAGCTAACAGCCTCGGCTGCTCTGCGCTGGCCCCAGGCAGGAACAGGTAGGGACACCACCATGCGTCCCAGTGTGCCCCATACACCGAACTACACTTGCTTCTACATTACTTGCCAAAGTTTATTATGTATAATGAATATTTTCCAAAATTATTTTATTCAGTCCAAATTTTGACAGAAGGTGTTGAGTGCATCCAGCAGACAGTGCTCTGACAGGATAAGCCTCAGCATTTTTCCTAGAGATTTCCTCCTCTTTATAGATTGGAAGAGCATGCACTTCTCCAAAAAGCCTGAGTACTCTTTTTACAGTACTTTTACAGTTAACATGTTTGGAGGGTTTTTTTGTTTGTTTTTGTTAGCACTTAATAAAAGGCATTATAATGAAATAGGAATGAGCAAAGTTGTAAATGTGTAAGAATTTGCTCTTACAACATGCATCAAGATTTTAGTCTTATATAAGAAAAATAAGCTCCTGAACAGTATATCCCTTCTCATTCACATATCCTTCTGTTTTACCAGCTATGTGAAGATACACTGCCACTAGAAATCTTGGTCATTATGTTAACCTATATAACCAAATCCACTAAATTATTAGCCAAGCCTTAAGGATTACCACTTTAGATAAAACCAACACCACCCCTGGAGATTTAAGTCACCCTAATTTCAGTATGACAAAGAACATGCATTCATTTCTTTTGATGTATTTAAAGGGCTGCCACACTTCCCTGAAGTGGGAAAAATAAATTACCAATTTCAGGTTTGCAAGACTAAGAAAACCAAGAGCAATGCAGATGCAGGTTAATGCTTACAGACTGCCACTTCTTTTATATTGTTATTGGCATCACTGATTCCTTTTTGTATTTCGTCCAGCCACAGAAGTGCTGATTCATCTTGGGATTCCTGGAAAAAGGATAGAGAAAAGCCTTGAAAAAACTGAATTATAACAGAAGTTGTCTGAACATGCTGATAGAGCTCCAATATACAATCTCCTCTTGCAAATCCCTTGGACACTAAAAGGAATTTGACTGCTTAAAATCAGCAATAAAACATATTCACATTCTATTTACTGACTTGAATAAACTCCTGTTCAAATACAAAGCTCTGAAAGTTTTCACGTATAGAAGACACTATCCTGCTAAAGATCAATAAAAATTTTGAGCGAAGCTAGAAATGTTTTCATTTCCATGATACCTAGGCAAAGAAATGTGAGTGTCAAATAAAACCACACATTATCAGGCAGCACTGTGATAGTGGCACAAAGAGCACGAAGCAGAAGACGGCAGGAAGTTGGCTTTCTTTCAGAATCCCTTATTTGGAAAGGATCCGCATGTATACCTGAGTACAAGTTATGTTAGAAAATAACAGCAAAAACTGACATAGAAAGACAGCTCAGGTTTAGTAATGATGAGTTAGCTCAGGTGGTGAATGTTTCAGGAATTAAGCAGCAGAGCAGGTCTCACTTCCTACAGGCTACCAGTGCATGGCATAAGCCCAAGTTAAAATAGAAGGCGCAGGAAAGTGGGCTCTGCATCCCTATTAGCCAACCCTGCTCCCACTCTCCAAGTTCACAGGTGAACCAACACTTCAGCTGAGAAAATAGGGGTTTGGAGCTAAAGTGACATTTAAAATCTAATCCAGTAGGTGAGGGAACAAAATTCATTCTAAAGAGGAAATAGGAGTGCCAGGTCTATAATAGAATAATGATGAGAGAAACGGGAATGTACTGATTTGATAAAGATCTAGGAGTATATATACACAAATATTTCAGGGTAAAAAAAAAAAAAATTGAAACTCTCTCAAGCTAAAACAGTGTGGACAAAGAACCAGATCTGCAACGAATATTCCTGGTTTTGTGTCCAACTCCAGGCCAAAAATCCAATAAATCTGTCATCCACAGAAATTACAAAGAGAAAACAGGATAAAAAACCCTAAAGACAGACTCTTCAGTTTGCATCATATATGTAAACAACGTAGAGGAATACCTAAATAAAATCAAGTAGTGTTAGGCAATCGCATGACAGTGGACACACCGCAAGTTTTTGTAACAAGAAAGTTAGAGTTAACACTTGAGAGAGTGTATACTAAATTCCCAAACTACAGCTGACAATTTTGAGAAACAGATTGAGAAACTGAAAAGAATTCCTTATCTGGTGTCCAGTTTTTACACACTAAATACAAGAACAGGCACAAATACTGCTCTGGAGCCAAGTACAGCTTATGCCGAGCCTCACCACTAGCTTGGAAGCTGGGCCAAGGCTTGGGCTAATTTTGTCTGCTGAAGCAAGCTGTTGTTATTCGGCATTCAAGGAAAAAAAATGCGGGGGGGGGGGGGGGGGGGGGCGGGCGGACAGAGAGGGGG